CAATAACATGTCATAACATTTTGGACTTCGGCTGTTAAAAAAGCAAGATGACATATAGTTTAAGAAAGTATGAGAGAATTTATGGAGAAGAAATACAAAATAATTTAGAAATTGCATTTTCATCAACTATTAACTAAATGCTCTCTCTATGGTGCTCCTAGCATTGTGGCTAACACTGTTCAAATACAGTGCTTTCCCTTTAAGAAGCTTATAATCTAAAACATACAAATAACCATATGCAGAAAAAAAGCTAGAGATCAGAGTAAAAGGAAGCATTCACAAAAATGTACAAATTCAGCATGCCAGAACTTTTCAGTTGAGCAACATGATCCCCAGTGAAATTCTTTCCAAATGATGTATCGTGTGCACAAGTTATAAGTGATTATCTTCCATTTTCTGAGAAATGAGTAATAAGATACCTCTTAAGACCCATGCTTTTGTATATGCATCAAACACTAAAGTTGGCATGGTCATTGATAGCTGCCATTTAAGGAGAAAACATTTTATGTTTTGTATCATACCAGTCAGATTCAGGACTCTTTTCTGCCAGGTTGGTAATAAGCAGCCTTTTTCTAGGTTGCAATGAACAGCAAACATTGCTACTCTAAGGACAGAAGTAGCAGAATGCTCAAAAATATTGCATCAAGATATTAGATACAACCTATAAGAAAAAAAGCACGCACACACACTGCAAAACTGACATCATCTGTGTCATCTAGCATCCATCAAGCCTTCTGTCTATATTTCCTAATGCTTACTAAATGGAATTTCCTACAAGAATTAAGAAAACTTTTTGAGATGGCAGCCCTATTAAGACACTTCTCCCTATCTCCCACTTCATCTCTTCAGTTCTTTTCCTTTGCCCAGGCTGGCTATTGTAACCATTTCAGCCAATTTCCTGGAGGTATTTTCTAGCCCCTTTCACCCTATTTAATCCTACAAGTTTCCCGGGAAGCCTGTTTACTTGTATGCTCCCCCACTAGACTGTGAGCTCTCTGACAAAAGAGACTGCAGCTCACTCCTTTCTGCACCTTCCAGAGCCTAACACAGAGCCTGCCAAGGAGTAGGCAGCCTTATACTCTTTTCAGAGCCAGTTGCCCCACTAATTATGGGCCATCTCTTCCATCACACTGATAGCTCTCCCTAAGCACATCTCAGCCCCAACATAAGGATTTGCATAATACATAGACCACAGTTGAAAGCAATCTCTAAAACCTTCCAAGTTAGCACACTATAATGCAACTTTTTGAAGTTTTTATTTTGTTTTATTTTTGTTGTGCTGGAGGAGATCGAACCCAGGGCCTTGTGCATGCAAGGCACGAAGCTACCACCGAGCCACATCCTCAGCCCAACTTTTTAAAGTTGTAACAAATCACCTGCTCGCCCAAATGTCTACTGCAATCTCAGAGGAGAGAAAACACTCCCACACCTCAATTCTTATTCTTTCTTGGAACACTAGGACCCATAACTGCTTCAGACTAATTGGAGAACCCCCGCTGGCAACCCTGATATGGTCCCTAGTTCTCACACTTAAAAATTGCCAAACTCTCTGTGTTTCAAGAATGTTGCTTTTTATTTTTACATTATTTCATCTATTTTAAGAAATTCCATGTCGATTTTGGCTCTTCAAGGCTGCCTTTTACCCATATGAGCATTTGGCCTTCTGGATTGGTTCTTGTACTCTACAAGATTTCTCCAAGGCAAGATCCCTCAATCTTTTGGGAGTTGCAACACTACTATGGTTTGATTTTTTTCTCATTCCCATCCATCCCCTGCACCACCACCCCTCAAAAATCTGGTGTATGGCATTCATAAAATGAATTACGCTTGATTTTTGTTTAGAGGAATTTTTTTCAGACTTCTGTAACATTCCCTTTGAGACAATTGGAAACATCATTGTCTGATTACTAGCTCACTTCCCTTGCCTAAAATTGTATCCATTCTTGATTGCGCCTGTGGGTAGGTTAAGCAAAACAAAATAAACATCTAGACTTATGAGCTCATTGGCTTTTTTCTGAATTTTTCTAAATTAAATAAGGGCAAAAGAGCTGCACTGAAAGTCAGTTATATGGATTTTTCTGCCAAATGCTAACTCTGTGCGCCTGGTTTCCATCTGTGGTGCTTTCCAAGTTACAAATCCTTAAAAAAAAAAAAAAAAAAGACTGGAGTATGAAGAGATCTATGGATTTGGGGGACATACTATTTAGAATTGCTATCCTGTGCCTTTGAATACTCTAAAAGAAATGGGAACATGAGACTGTAAGGCTTTAGATCAGCTTTGTGGAAGTGTACCATAGTCCTTCAGCACCGGTGATTTATTTTTTTAGGCTGGTTGATTTGAAATGCCATTTAGTCTCATTCATATTAACATAAGAAATGTACCTTATCCACGCTAACCCAATTCTGCTAATGGCTTAAGTTAGCAGTCAATCCCAAACGCTCCCCCTAAGTGAAACAGGACATTCTTGAGGATTTCTCCTTACTGTGACTCTCATTTTATCTGGGACAAAGAAAGCCTTAATGCAGTTAGTACAGTGCAGCAGGCAAACTGAACATGGTTTAAAATACAGATGGGAAGAAAGTCAAGTGGTCATCAGGATGGTTCATAACTATCAAATAATTTGCAGCTCTCTTTCAATTTCCAACCACTGAACAACAGCAGCAAATTACACATTTATTCACTTTGAAATTATGCACTTGCCATTGTATTTAGTCTGGCATTATCGTCTCTTCTTTGAAATACTGATGAGCTCTCTCCTCACAGGGACATTAGGATTTGCACCGTGCATTCCATATCTACAGTGACCATATTTGCCCAACTAAAATTCAGGACACATGGTTTCATGCCAGGAAAGAGTATTCAAATTCGGCACTACCCCAGAAAAATCCAGGATACATGGTAGCTGTATGGGTATCAACATATTTGAATTTTGGCTTTGCTCCAATGCGAGTGAGGACAAGGTCTGCCATGCAAAAGGTGCTTATCACCATTCATGTTTGCTAAAGACAAATGAAGTAGGTTCCTTTGGGTTTATATGGTGAAAACCCTTGAAAAGAGATTTTTTTTTCCCCTAGAATCTGAAATAGTAGCTTAAAGTGAAAAAGCTATATTACAAACAGGTATGATCATCCTTACCCCAGGAGAAAGGGAGGGGAGGAAGCAAGGCCAGGCCAAATCTCTTGCACACAGTGTGTGGGCTCTCCCTATACTTTTACACAGATGCTGCAAAGAGGCAGACGGCCAGGGAGCTGGGGGAGGGTAAGGGAGGGTGAGTGCCTCTAGGAGTGGGGTGGGAGGTTGCCAAATGAGTATCTGTGCTGTCCTCTGGTGTTCCTGTTTTTAGCACCACCTTTACTCCCTGGCTTCAGATCTGCCAAAGGTGGCCCCAACCACAAAAATCTGGACGCCATTCATCCAGGAGGGATTCAGCCTGCGTGGACTCATTCTTCGATTATCAACAAAAGCATGTTCTCCAGCCTTAGCAATCTAATCACCATGGCACTTCCAGTGGAGAGAGATTCGCCTGTTGTTTCAGCTCTGTGGAACTGATTCATAGGTTGCCCCTTACAGCTCCGGCACACGCCCACGTGGTGTGTTATTAACACTCAACAGTGGAAGAGGTAGTTCTACCCTCCCTTAGAGCGATATCCTGCAAAGCAATATTTAACATATGCACAAATGCATTTCAGTCACCAAAAAGGGTGACCAATTACCTTTGCAACTAAACAGCAGGCTCGCTTGGCTCTTTTCATCAACCTAAAGAAAAAGCTGAGGGCGCTGGCTGCCTAGGTAACCTCCTGCCAGTGAACGCTTGCCGGCAGCGCCCATAGGGCGCGCATCCGCATTCACAACTTGGTCCAACCGTCAGACCCGTCTCCCCGACTTGTTGAGAGCCACCAGCCAAGTTTGGGCGAGGGCTGCTCCCGGATCTCTCCCAAGCGCGGACTCGATCCTCGCTGATGCAGTTGAAAAGAGACCCCGGAGGCCAGAAACGTCTCACCGTTGGTGAATACTACCGGCCGTTTCTCCGAGCGCACCTCTGTTAAATTAACCTGTTTGAAACCTACTCTTCTTGCCCGCACTGTCAGCTCACCACCTTGTCCTAATTGGATTCTAAGGCAAGCGTTGGGTGCCCAACTGCTGGATAGTCAATCACAGAAGCCATTAATATTCATCTGTTGACAGCGGTAGCCCTCAGCTAAGGTTAAAATATGCCCTTACAGCACGATCTGATTGTGCAGAACAAAAGGCAGGCGTCCAGAAACTTTCTCCACCTAGAATCATCTCCCATTCCGGTCAAGAAGGCAGATGAATCTGGCAGGGGGAGTTCAATCATCTCCGGACTCCTACCCCACAGGTCAGCACCACCAATTTTGAAGCGATTTTGCCAACCTAGAAACAGGACGCTGTTTTGAAGGGAAAGGCTCAGTCCTCATTTGGGGTTACCTCCTACGCAAAAGTTTCCTTCAGCGTGTCTTCACCCACCACTGAAGACTCTGAGATCTGTCCTCAACTTTGCCTGTACTTAGGCCCGCGAGCCTCGGGAACCCAGACTGGGGAAAAGAGGGCGTGGGGACACATTGGGGAAAGAGCCGCAGTCCAGATAAGGCTGAAATTTTCACACATACGTGCAAGCAAGGGTGAGAAATTCCCGAGGCAGTGGCTCCACTTGAGTTCTCCAGGGCTGGAGAACCAGCTCCCACCTTCCTGGCCTCCCCAAAATGCGCATTCCTGGGAAGGCGACCCCCTCCATTCCTCCCGATCTCATATTCTCTGACAGCAGCGCGAGCCTGGGGTGTGCGGACAAGATCCTACGAACCCAGCTTCCCCCCCTCAGTAGACCCAGCCAGGCCCCAGGCACAGCGACCGCTCCCAGGTAGGTACCCAGACCCAGGGCGCACGGACCCGGGCCCCGCGGGACTAGCGCTCGCGGTGCAGCCACCACGCGCCCCTGGGCTTCCCGCGGGGCGCCGGGAACGCGCGAGGGACCCCTACTCACCTGCCACGGGGGTTTCGGGAACCCATTTAAGTCCAGGCTGCAGTCTCTGGAAAAAGGAGCGGACCTGGTGACAGGTGGCGTCCGGAGGCGGCGGGGGCTGCGCCTGTCCCGGGCACTCCAAACCCAGCAGCATCGCCACTACCAAGCACGCGGTGCGCACGGTCCCGGCCATCCTGCTTCGCGGGGAGCTAGGAGAGCGCGAGAGAGTGGCAGCCGGAGCGAGAGCCTCACTAGGACTGGGCAAGCCTGGCAGCGGCCCGGAGGAGCGACAGACGTGCCGCGCTACGCAGCCGCTGCAAAAGTTTCCTCGCAGCTACCTGGGCGCTGAGCGAGGGCGGGAACCGCTCGGCAGCACGGGGCGGGGCGGGGC